ATTATTGTTTCTCCTCTATGCCCCGCCTTTCTGAAACGCGTCGATTTTTACAAAGCTCATCGGTCTGAAAAGCGAGGTGTGCTCTGATTGGCCAGCTATCCAGTGCGTTGTGATTGGCCGAATTCCTCAAGCGTGTGACGGAAATGTTACATCCCTTACCATATTGTGATGCCTGCAGCAACCACATGTGACGACCCCGGGCTGGACTCCGCTTCGTCCACGGTGAAAGCCGATCCGGCGATCGACAGCGCGAAGTTGATGTATTTCCTCAGCAACCAGCACGGATCAGCTCTAGGCATGATGAAGCAGATATCGTCCTCTTTTGGAAGGCCAAAGTTTCGCTTTCTCAACGAACCACACAGTGCCTTCACGACATGGCGGCGGCAACAACAATACTACAGCGAGAATAAAAGTTACGCCTTCTTTCTTTGCGTGAACATTTGGGCAGCGTTATGCAAATCTTCCCACATCGTGACATAGACATGTGAGGGCGTGTTAGAACGAGCCGTTTTAGGTAGGCGTGGTTGACTCTTAACTTTTATAAAGAGTATCTCTTTGGATTTGAGACTTTAGTCTTTGCAACTTTACAGATCTTCTTTATGCACCAAGAGCTTGTAACACTTCAAAGAGAAAGGAAAAATTGAAATCGCATCATATGACCCCTTTAAGCTCGACGAACAGTTTTGGAGAAATTGTTGTTTCCACATTCAAAGAGATAGGAGCTGCACTTGCATGCCCGAGAGGCGCTTTAAAAATGGCCGCCTAGTGACATGACTTTTCTTAAAGGGACTTTGGGAAAACCCTTCGATGAACAGCACTCCCTCATTTACAATAATCTGAATGAATCAACATTAACAAGGATATAAGATTATATTTATGTGTCTACTCACCTGCGGAAACTTTGCAGGATAACTTTTCTGCGTACATGAACACACAAATCATACAAAATTAGTGAATGCGGTCCATTATTATTTTAACCTTTAGATTCCTTTTGGTTTGATTTGATTCATAAACTTATGACTCTATTGAATCAGATCTTTTAATGAATCGGTCGATATGACCCAAGTTGTCAGTTTGAATGATTCTAACAAGTGAAATATTAAAACCTCTAAATCTGACAGAGCTTTTCAACATCATCATGTGACTTAATTAATGAAATAAGCCAATAATATGTTTACGGCCTGGTTCGTGTTAATATGATCCATGACTGGGTGCAAACATAACATGTAGTTAGACTACAACATTTGAACACACACACACACACACACACACACACACACACACACAGACACACACACACGCACGCACACACACGCACGCACACACACACACACACACACACACACACACACACACAAATCCACATATAAGGTTTTCTTTACCCATTAACGGTTTATAATAGTATTAAAGTAACGAATTACAGAGGGATGGGATATATCTCAATCTCAGTTTCAGTACTCTGCTATTGGAGCCTGTTATCAAAAAAGGTAAACATGTTTTAAATGAACTGCATCTCTGCAATAATTGATGAAATATTCAATAGCTGGGTTATAGTCAAGACTCATATTTAATATAACAAAAATAATGTAGAAAAAAAACCCATTAACCTAACTGTAAAAATAATTTTCCAAAGTTGTAAATAAAACAAAGATTATTGGAGTACACTCTTAAAAATAAAGGTGCTTCAAAAGGTTCTTCAAGCGATGCCATAGAAGAACCATTTTGGGTTCCACAAAGAACCATTCAGTCAAAGGTTCTTTAAAGAACCATCTCTTTCTTACCTTTTTGTAATCTGAAGAACAGAAAGGTTCTTCAGATATTAAAGGTTCTTTATGGAACCATTTAGACAAAAAGGTTCTTCTATGGCATCGTGAAGAACCTTTATTTTTAAGAGTGTATGTTCTACAAGAAAATACTATTTCAGTTTCTCTACTTAAAAATTCCATGTTTAATTCAATGTTACCTGCCATTTCTTTGTAATTATTGAAGAAATTTACTAGCACTCTTTGGATGAAAATAGTTTACACCAGTGTGAAAATTAAAAAACAAAAAAAGGGGGAAACATTCTGTTTTTCATTCAGTGACTTTGAGCAAATTCATCAGGGATGAGTCTTTATTCAACACTTTAAATGTGAAAATTAACTTTAAACTTTTCTGAAACCAGGGATAGAATAAAGCATAAATGATGGGATTAATGGTGGAGTTCAAGAAGAAAAATATTACAGTAACATTTCTGACATAAAACCGGTCAGCATTGTCATATGAACTCACTAAAGTAAGCAGTCGCATGTTTCTTAGCAATGACAAAAACATGAGTGTATAATATTATAATAAGCGTACAAGGCATAAGAAACACAAACAGGAGATCAATGAGAGATGAAACCCCATCTATAACAGCAATACACATTCCTGGACACGTGACATCAGCAAAGTTTCCATTAACGTAAAGAAGAGTGAAGTTATAAAATTGTGAAAACAACCAGTTAAATAAAGTTGCTATGCAGATAACAGTGGGTGAGATCTTCTCAGAGTAAAGAAAAGGAGAACTTAAAGCCAAAAAACGATCAACTGCTATCAGAGCAACAGTGTGAACAGACACGCTTGTCGCCTGAAAAGTCACAAAATTGAAAACTGAACACATCACTGATCCAGAAATCCAACATGACTCAATAAGCCAAGATAAGTGAAACGGCAACACAAAAACTCCAACCAGGAGATCGCACACAGCCAAAGAGAGGATGAGGATGTTCGCAGGTGTGTGGAGCTGCTTGAAGTGACTAACAGAGATGATGACCAGCAGGTTTCCACACACGGTCAGAAGAGACACAGCTGCTGCGGCCACATACAGAATCACATACACAGATAAAGAAACAGATCTCTCTGGACACCAATATTCCTGACAGACGTCGCTTTGGTTCATTGCTGTAAGATTCATTGTGAAGCGTATTGCTCCCTGTGACTTCCTTTATATACAAAATGCGTAACCATAGATAAAAATCTCTGAAGATATGCTAACTGTATCTCCAACAGCTCTGAATTGCTCATCATCTGAAACACAAACCTACACCGATTCCTGGAGGTTCCACAACACCAGATAAAAAGCTACAACCCATGCTGCCTTTTATAAACTTGACATGTTGACTCTTTCCAATACCAGCAGCATCAAGGGAGAAGAACATATAGTTGGGAGATCAACTGATTCTGTTCAGGTGAAGAAAAAATAACAAAAACACAGGATAGCATAAGCTGACTGTGTGTCTCTGACTCTAAGTTGCATGTTAACATATTAGGTTTTAAGAGTTATTTACTAAAATCATTTTACACATTGAAAATGTACACACACACACACACACACACACACACACACACACACACACACACACACACACACACACACACACACACACACACACACACACACACACACACACACACACACACACACACACACACACACACACACACACACACACACACTGAAAACAGAAGTGAATAAAGAGAAAAGTTTCTAAACTTTAAATTTGTCTGCTTTAGGTATCCCACACTCCGCCCTGGGTACAAAAATATAACTACAACAAACATTATGAAAAGAGCCATAAAAGTACAATGCAATGGCTTTTACAGTATTTATTGTTTCTTAATGATTTAAAAATGACATGACATAAATGCAGCCTGAATCGACGTATGCACAGCCAGCAAATGAGATGTTTTGAATATGATCGTGTACTCTGGGCCCGTATAAAATTTTTTTCGTTGTTTATTGTGTTTAAATGGGTTGTGAGAATGGTGTACTTTGCTTTACTCGAAGAACTTGCAGCGCATGCTCGAGTGCGTGGGAGAGGTTATACAGAAAACCCTTCGATGGACAGCACTCCCTCATTTATTATAATCTGGATTCACCAACACTAACGAGGATATAAGAACAAATGTATGTGTCTAATCACCGGCGGAAACTTTACAGGACAACTTTTTCTGTGTAAATACAGACCATTATTTTTTTTTTTTACACTTAGATTCCCTTTGGCTTGATTTGATTTCTCAAATATATGACTCTTATGAGTCGGCTCTTTTAATGAATCAGTCGATATGACCCGAGTTGTCAGTTTGAATGATTCTAACAAGTGATTTTAAGAAATATTAAAGGCTCTGAATGTGTCAGAGCTTTTAAACATGATTATGTAACTTAATTACTGAAATGAACACATGTTATAGACATAGATAGTACAACATTTAAACACATTTAGGCCTGGTTTCACAAGGTTTTTCTGATCATAGGTTTTGACATTTTAGTATTAAAATAATGAATTAGAGGGGAGACTGGAGCTATAGCTGTACACATGGGCTATATCTCAATCTCAGTATATTTCAGTAGTCTACGAGGAGCCTGTTTTTAAAAAAGTTCAACATGTGTTAACTGTATCTGCAATAATTGAGGAAATATTCAATAGCTGTTTTGTAGTCAAGATTCATGTTTAAGATGACAAAATAATGTATATTAACCTAGACAATATATAAAAATAAACAACAGGAAAAACAGAGAGAAAACATTGTGTCTTATTCAGTGAGTTACAGCACATTCATCAGGGAGGGGTCTTTATTTAACACTTTAAATGTGAAAATTAATTTTAAGCTTTTCCGAAACCAGGGATAGAATCAGGCTGGAGCAGTGGGCATGGCCAAAGATTAGGGTGTGCTTGTTAGGGTTAGTTTCTATTGTAGCATTCCCCTTTCGGCACACCACCTTTTGCCACTCCCATTACTCTGACCTGCAGCCACCCCTCTCCAAGTTTGTTAAATACACTGGTGTCTAAGGAAAGCAGCAATAATAATCAATTCAGACCTACAACAAGAGAAAAAGAACAAAAATTAAGAAACAATATAAACATGCAAGGAGAGAAAAGATTGCACAGCAGGTCAGACACAACGTTTTGTTTTTTGGCGTAAATGTAATTTATTCTGAAGCAATAGTCTCATCAATGCTCTATCAGGTCTTACTTTAATCAGCATATTTGTGACATTTGCCTTAAATTGATTCTAGGACACTTTTTTAACTTTATGAAGGGCAATATTTTCCTAACTTTATAAAATATATGTGTCATAATTAACGTCAAATTCTTACATTTTATCAATACATTCAGTTAGAATAATAAGACACTGTATGGTTGTTACCATTCAAATGAAATCAGTATCAACAAACTCCATCTTTCCACTGTAGATGAAACAGGAGCTGAATCAGAAATGCCATTTAGATGTATTTACTCAGACTTTTTAATGAAGAGGTTCCATAAATGCATTTAGGCCTACACAGTAAAATTGCAAATGCATAAATAATATTATAAGATTAATGTTTTACTTTTTTAACATACAAATATGAAATGTTGGAAAAATACAATGATTTGAAACCAATATGAAACCAAACCACCAGTAGGTGGCGGCAAGTCACTGTCTTAATGAGTGAGTCATTGATTCAACCGATTCGTTCAAACGGCTTATTCATTCAATAAATGAAGCAAGTGACTTTATGGCCGTTTCTCAAACGGAAGGCTGCATCCTCCAGAGGTCGCATTTGCAGGCTGCATGTGTCATCAAGCCTGATTTATTTCAGTTAACTGAGCATTATATTCGCGAGCCATAAGCAAATTACAACAATTTACACTTAACTAAGAATAATGGTCAAATTTATAACTGTTAATATTCTAAAATAAGATCTTCTTTAGGGGGAGCGCGGGGCACAAAGTAACGCAGGGTTAGTGGTAACACACATGGTTTGAATATTTCTACACATGCTAGCATAACAAAATTTACAGTATTTATTAGTTACCATATCAACATTATATAGAAAAAAAGTGCGCCAAAATTCAAAAATCTTTTGAAGATATCGCTGAACATTTATTTTACCATAGTAATATAAAAATTTTGGCTTAAGTAAATGTTTCATCTCAGTTTTTATTATTCATTTAAAATGAGACAAATCGGCTATTATTTTAATCTCCAATCTGTTATTTTTCAGTTCAGATCGTTTTTTAATGCGTTGATAACTAGCAGAAGACACTAACCAGTTTTAAATTCTAGTTGCGCGGATGGGGCACGTTGTAACACTGCGTTACAATGTGCTATTCTATGACATTAGCGATGTAATTTACACTATTTACTTTAAAGAATTTGAATGAGAAACAATGAGAAACAGGTGAATAACGACTGACAGTCAATGTTTAATGTTTAGAAATTATTATTTCAAGACATGTAAAGCATTTTTGCTTGTTTATGTGGGCCGTCCCAAGCATGGTTGCAATGTGTTCATTGTCAAACTCCAAAATCAGATTATTTTTAATTCTTAAAAAACGGCATTATTTTATTTGAAAAATATATTTTTTTATTTTATTTTATTAACAAAATATTTTAGTTTGTCTTGTATATATTTTTTAATTCGATCAGATAACATTTTAAGCTGTCATATGGTCATGTTACAACGTGCCCCTCAGATGTTACAATGTACCCCACCTACGGGTCATGTTGTCACATTTCACTTCCATTTTTTGAGGGTAAATAGCCTAAAGAAAAACGTATACACTGTAATTATGAAACAAAGCGACATATTTGTACTAGACAAGTGTAAAATTACCGTGTATAAAAAAATTATATTCTGAACCTACGTGGATTTACACAAACTGAGAAAGTCAAAAAGTGTTACTTTGTGCCCTGCTCTCCCCCTATACGACGTATGCAGCCTACAAATGCAACCTCCGAAGGATGCAGCCTTCCTTTGAGAAACGGCCTATGAATGGCTCACTGAATCATTGACTCACCCGATTCGTTCAAAATTGCTGAATCATTCAGTAATGAAACACTCAGTACGTTTACATGGACAACAATACTCAGATTTTAATAATAATAATAATAATAATAATTCATTACATTTCTATAGCGCTTTTCTAGGCACTCAAAGCGCTTTACATTGTCAGGGGGTATCTCCTCGTCCACCAGCAGTGTGCAGCATCCACCTGGATGAGCATTTTAATACTACGATTAATAATACGATTAAGACAATACTCTGATTAAGAAGCTACCATGTAAACAAAGATTTTTGATTACCTTAATCCGGCTAAAGTCATAATCGAAGTAAACACTAATAGAATTAAGACATGTGGCCCAACTTCTGGTGCATTTACCGCCACCAACTGGACTGGAGTGTGAATCACTAATAAGCAACTAATATATATATTAGTGTCTATAGTATACTATATACTATACCATATACTATATACAAAATATATATATATATATATACACACACACACACACACACACACACACACACACGTATACATCCCCCAAATGTTTTTCTTTAATTCTACACGGCAGTGGTCAACTGTTTGACAGCGGTGTTTCATTTTTAATTATATGAAAGCTTCAAGTGCAGTTAATTATTTGAAATCGTATTAAAATCGGAGTATTGTTGTCCATGTAAACATACTCAGACTGTTGTGTGTTGCTCGGAGATGTGGCTTTGCTTAGAACTATTTTGTTAGCGAAAATAATGTGTCTAAAATGTAAGTCGGTTAATATGAACTAGGCCTACTTGTTTATTGAACTACTGTTGTATAGAATGTCACATTTGCAATCGTGTTACACAAATGTTACTTGTAAAATTCTCTTTCACTTGCCCCTTCACAAAATCCACTTGTCCCGGACAAGCGTTAATGTCGAGCCCTGCTATGGCCTAGAATAGATGTCTCATTATCTAAACTGTTCTACCATGAGGATGATGGCCTAAAACACTCATCCATCCCCACAATAAACAGACATTCATTAGATATTCAGAGCAATAATTAGACTGCTCTGATAAACATAAATGTTGCAAGTTATATTGCATGTTTTTACCAAAGATTTTACCAAAGAAACATATGAAACTCATCTTTTATTATAATTAATTTAATTTATAAATACTAATTTTGTAATATTCTAAAAAAAATGTAAACAGTTATATAGATGTCTAATCACATTTATGGAAATATTACTGATCTGTTGAAAAGGTTTTTTTTTTTCCAAGTCATCCAACAAATATTTCAGTTTTGATAAATGCTGTTTTGTGAATGTAATGAGGAAGCGGCTCTTGAATAACATGCCTGGTTTTATTCATCAAAATATATGAATAATCATATTTTTACTGCACAATAATGATGAAAAAGAAAATTAGAAAATACTAAAACATAAACAATCGAAGGACAGACGTTTGTTTTTCATTAAGAGCTTAATGACAGGACATTCATCAGAGAGGAGTCGGTGTTCAATACTTTAAGAGTTAGAATTATCTTTACACTTTTCTTAAACCAAGGGTACAACAGAGCGTAGATAAGTGGATTGATGGAGGAATTAAGGTAAAAGAGAATCAAAACACTGTTGATAACATTAGATAATGAGTCATCTTTTAAGAAATTAGTTAAAGAAAAAATATAATATGGCAGTAAACACAGGAGAAACACAAAGACCAGAATCCCGAGTGCTAATGCGGCTTTTCGCTCCGATTTGTCACTGACTCTGTTTTTGGAGGATTGTGTTCTGTTGTGAACCTGAAGGGCTCTTATAGCAGTCACATGTTTCTTAGCAATGACAAAAACATGAGTGTATAATATTATAATGAGTGTACAAGGCATAAGAAACACAACTATGAGGTCAATGAGGGATGAAACCTCATCTACGATATAAAGACATTCTCCTGGACACGTGACATCAGCGAAGTTTCCATTAACGTAAAGAAGAGTGAAGTTATAAAAGAGTGAAAACAACCAGTTAAATAAAGTTGCTATGCAGATCACAGTGGGTGAGATCTTCTCAGAGTAAAGGAAAGGAGAACTTAAAGCCAAAAACCGATCAACTGCTATCAGAGCAACAGTGTGAACAGACACGCTTGTCGCCTGAAAAGTCACAAAATTGAAAACTGAACACATCACTGATCCTGAAATCCAACATGACTCAATAAGCCAAGATAAGTGAAACGGCATCACAAAAACTCCAACCAGGAGATCGCACACAGCCAAAGAGAGGATGAGGATGTTCGCAGGTGTTTGGAGCTGCTTGAAGTGACTAACAGAGATGATGACCAGCAGGTTTCCACACACGGTCAGAAGAGACACAGCTGCTGCGGCCACATACAGAATCACATACACAGATAAAGAAACAGATCTCTCTGGACACCAATATTCCTGACAGACGTTGCTTTGGTTCACTGCTGTTAGATTCATGATGTGTGAAGTACTCTGGAGAGACATCAAGTCTTCCTTCTTGTATATAGAACAAAGCAACAATGAATTTGAATCTAATATCTGTATTTCCACCAGAGTGAGTCCAGTCTCATTCGGTCCTCAGTGTAAAGGGTTTGCATTGTTCCCAGTGAGCAGGATGACACCAACTTTGGCAAACAATACGCTTTGCTGATTTTTTATATGCAAATGTCTCCTCCCCTCATCAGTAAATGTTTAATAATGTGCTTCTGCTGGGAGTTCATGTTAATTACATCTTCATCTTTGCACAATCACTATTTTTTTTTCATTCTTTCATCATTATATCTTGAATTTCAGACTCAATACACAAGTGTTTTGTTTTTCTCTTTTAAATGAAAAAAAAAAAGATATGTACTTTCCATCTTCTGAAGGATATTTTTCACAGTTTTCATCTTATATTTGTCAAATTTGGGATACTAAATTTGGCACTTTTATCCAAAGCAGTTTGAGAAAAAGTAGAGAAGAAAAATGATATAAAAGACATGAAACTGGCACAAATATACAGAAAATCAAACATTTTATTGTCTCTTTTTGAATATTAATCTATACTCAGACTCAGACTGGACACCAAATTGAGTTTCTCTCACTTCAAACACATCTGGATTAACCTCATATAAAACGGTATTTTCTTTATTTATCTCCACAGCAGCATTTCAGTTTTTGGGAAAAGGGTGATTCAACATTATTTACATAATTTCATTTAAAACTGCAATAAATCATGGAGAAAAAAAATGCTTTTCAAATACAACAAATTACAAAAAGAAGATAAATTACTGCCTACACAATAAATTAATTGGGCAGCTCTTTAGCAAGCATTTTGCATTTGTTACTCATTTTCAGCTGTGTGTGAGTAGGTCAAAGGTGAACTGACTCATAAGAGCTGAGCTTAACATACAACTCCACTTTTGACATTGTCTCCATCTAGTGGTTATTTCCTGTCACAACGTGTCAGCTGTGTAAACCTGATTTATTTCCCTTTAATGATTAACTCTTCAACACTTTGTACTCTTTTTAGGTCATATAACATTTGTACACAACATCATAGTAATAGACAAAAGTTTATATATATTTTCCTGGATATGAGAGACTTTTTAGGGTCATGTAATAAACTGCACATATATTTTTATAATACATAAAAAGTTTTTGTTTTATGCTTGAGATTCACATATATGTAGAATCCAACTTATTTCTTTTTTAAATTAGGTTTTAATTTGCTTCATTTTTAGTTGTTAGGTCTGATATCTCTCTCTATATATATATATATATGCTGTAAGGTCTTATATAGACAGGTGTGTGGCTTTCCTAATCAAGTCCAATCAGTATAATCAAACACAGCTGGACTCAAATGAAGGTGTAGAACCATCTCAAGGATGATCAGAAGAAACGGACAGCACCTGAGTTAAATATATGAGTGTCACAGCAAAGGGTCTGAATACTTAGGACCATGTGATATTTCAGTTTTTCTTTTTTAATAAATCTGCAAAAATGTCAACAATTCTGTGTTTTTCTGTCAATATGGGGTGCTGTGTGTACATTAATGAGGAAAAAAAATTAACAAATGATTTTAGCAAATGGCTGCAATATAACAAAGAGTGAAAAATTTAAGGGGGTCTGAATACTTTCCGTACCCACTGTATATATATGAAAATACACTACCAGTCAAAAATTTAGCCACACTTACTGATTATGTTTTGACTAGTAGTGTATTCTCTCTCTCTCAAATTCAAATACAGTTTGAATTGTTTGAGAGCAGTTTAAAAGTGAAGTGCACTTATACACCTTTATAGCAGCCGCTTCATACTGACTGTTAGAGATAAAAACATTCATTTGTGCCATTTTTAACCACTGAAATTTCATATTCAGGCTATTTTACTATCAGAAATGGCAGCTTCTATAACAAACCAGATGGGTGAAAGATGCATGAAGCTGGAATGATTATCTATTAACAGTAACAATGTTAAAACAATTTTAAACACAAGTTAAGCGCTCTATGTACAGTCTCTGTGGAATGTATAACTCAATGATTTTTGTACAGTTGGTGGTTGCCATTGACTTCCATAGTATTTTTTTTCCTACTATGGAAGTCAATAGCAACCACCAACTGTTTGATTACCAGCAATCTTCAAAATATCTTCTTTTATGTTCAACATAAGAAAGCAACTCATACAGGTTTGGAACGACATGAGCGTGAGTAAATGATGACAGAATTTTCATTTTTGGGTGAACTATCCCTTTAAAATAAGTTTCTGTGGTAATGAACTGCACACCAAAGATACTGTCCGTAGAGCTCAACTTGCATTAAATATTCTGTTAGTGACAATATCTTAACTGTATTTAGAAAGCAACTCAGGACAGCTTCAGTTAGTGACAAACCTCCATAACTCATTACAAACATGCCAGTGCAAACGCTGTGGGACATCTGATGGTCAATTCAGTTTTTGACAGAAGCCCAGATAATCAAACCAATAATGACAGCCAACACAATCAGAACAGCGATCAGGATGAAAATCTTCTTGCGGAATGACGTCTACAGTGAACAGAAGAAATGAGTCATTAGTATAATAATAATAATAATAATAATAAAAGGGTTGTCAATTTAGCATGTTAATAAAATAGTACATTTAATTAATTATTGTATATTTAATTTAATAGTGATATAACTTTAAAAAAATAATGTGATTAAAAATCACCGCATTAATGCAAATTTACTTGAGCTGTAATATATAATAAACCATCATAAAAGTTGGCCGTAAAAGTACACCATCTCAAACACACCAGTACAAGGGAAGCATACAAGCAAATTAGAATTAAAATTTGCATATATTTCTCATGCAAAGCTAGCGAATGACTAAAGAGGACTTGGAATATAGTGCGTTTATGGTGCTTTTTCATCCTTTTTGGAGTTGTGTCTGTCTCCATCTACTTTCATTTGGCTGTTTCTTGTTTTGTGTTCCACAGAAGGAATAAGGTAATATGGGTTTGAAATGACGTAAGGGTGAGTGAATGATTGGTCATTAGTAAAAATAAGCTGTACCTGGTGACTTGCTGCTCTGCCCAGCTGTTGTGTGGCTGTCTGCACATTGATGTCTGCGTTTGATACATTGGCCTCTATACTGTCTGCAAGATGGGATGGAGATAAACAGAGAAATGACTTTCACAGTTAAACATTATTTTCTACAGTTTTGCACTGACAACTAACCAAATATTCTGACTCTGTTATCATTAAAAAATATTATTCATTGTTTAAAACATGGATAATGCATTGTCCTCTTGGATATTATTTAATTTCCATTTAAAATCCTTTAGTGAGCAACATTTCATCATTCATTCAGGTATGCATGTCAAAGTTTTGGTGGACAGCACAGGCAATGATGCAAACTCTTGTAATTTTGATGAAATATCACAACTGTAAACAACACAAGTGTGTGCTTACTAATAGCTCCCGTCTTATCATTAAAAGTTTAGTGCTTGAACAAACAGTCCCACTGAGCCGGGTTGTGTGAAGCCTCGCAGGTCTTCATTATCAGCATCTGCTTCTCCATTTTAACACCTTTAATTGCACTTTCCTGTCTAAGAGTTTCATGACTAAACAGACACTCCCTCAGAGCCAAGTCTAAACAAAACCACACAGATTTATTTTATTTGTAATTATATTTATTTAATTTTATTTTCAATTATGTTTACTTTAAATTATTTTTATTTAATTTTATTTTAACAGGAAATCTCCAGGCCTGCCTTTTTATCTCTCAGATGTGTTCTGCAAGCTCAGTGTTAGCTGCAATTACACAGGGAAAAAGCAAAATAAAGCAAAATATTGTTGTAAAATAACAATTTCCTTAAATTGTAGGCAGCAACCAGTTCATATACAGATATATCACTAACCTTGACGGAAGCAGAGATTTGTTTACTGTCCACAAGATTTTGGTTCATTAGACAGCCATGTGTTTAATTTTCAACAATAAAAAATGACACATGAGCACATTAGACCTTCTGGTGCAAACTAACAGTGGTCTGACATTAAAGTTCGGGTTGTTTAATGATATGAATGCTTTTTTCTGAACTCAAATGTGTGTGAACTGAACTGAGTCATTTTGCTTATTTGGACTCACTATTTGAAAGAAAGCAATAATATCATAGGCCTAATATCATAGAGATTTTGGGATGAACTATTTTGACTTGAGCCATTTAGAATGGCAATGCACTGATAACCTCCCAAACAACCTATCATCGTCGCAGAGAGTTCTGCATGGTTGCCACTCAATTTTATTAAGGAAGTGTAAAAATCTAGCTATGCCTCTCTGATCTTACCAATCATGTCTCCCTGTTCATGCACCATCATGCCCAGATCTCTGAAGATTTCATTAATGTCTGTGATGTCCGACTGAAAAACAAGAGAGTATGTTTTACACAACCCTAAAGTTTGTGCAGCAAAACCAACCATTCAAATAGCATTACATTACATAAGCACAATGCTTATCAATTAGTTCTTCTTTGTTGTCTCTGTGTTTGAACGCGTCTCACCTCCAGCTGTCTGATTGCTGATTCTCTCTCCTGAATGAGCTGCAGATCTTCTTCTGTGATGGTCTCCTCATATCTCTGATCTTGAGCATGAATCTCACTGAAAACACACACAGAAGCAGACAGTTGGAGACACACATTCCAATTTTTATGCATAAATGTGACAAATATTATTAAAGTGTCTAACCTTTGAAAGGGTGATGGAAATCCTCCAAACCCATCATCTATATCACCACCCTGGGGACAGATAGAAGACTGTGAGGAAAACGTATAGAAAACCTTAATAATGTGTGCCAATATGCCACTTTTATTACTCACAAAAAACACCATTATACTTTAAACAAACTATCATCTGCAGTAGTGCGACAAAGTTGTTATTCACAATCATGCTCTTTAAACAAACATTAGATGCATCCTATCTTGTGACATATGTGGCTTTTAAGTAGTATGTATAACCAGGGTTATTATAGCTAACTAAATCTAAAACTATAAAAAAAGTTACTTGAAATAAAATAAACTGAAATACAGTAAATACTAAAAAGTACCAAAAAAACACCCTTAAACTTATTTTATTTCAGCTAGTTGCCACGACAACATTTTTCCTTTACATTTAGTTTAACTTGAAGTACTAAACTAACCCAAACTAAATAAACTAAAACTAATACTAATAAATACAACTGAATAAAACCTACATAGAGTTACATAAAAAACTAATAATACAAATGACAAAAGCACAACAAAATAAAAAACGTTTAAATTAAATTAAAAACTATAAAAAGCACAAAATATAAAAATAAAATGTAATTCAAAATATTAACAAAAACTATAATAGTAAATAAATTATACTAAAATAACATTGTATAACTATCAAAAAGATGGACAATAGAAACTGGCACTTTCACGTTAGATATTAGTGTCTGTATAAATCAGAGGTGCCCAAACTCGGTCCTGGAGGGCCGGTGTCCTGCAGAGTTTAGCTCCAACCTGCCTCAACACACCTGCCTGGAGGTTTCTAGTATGCCTAGTAAGAGCTTGATTAGCTGGTTCAGGTGTGTCTAATAGGGGTTGGATCTAAACTCTGCAGGACACCGGCCTTCCAGGACCGAGTTTGGGCACCCCTGGTATAAATGGTCTTGGGACTTAACCTTCAGTTGGGTGGATAATATCAATTTATTAATGTAATTCTTTAAGCACAAACGTAACAGATGAAACATACTGAAATTCTCGAGCTCGCTCGGACACGCGCCACAAACTCCTTCTCTTTCTTTGCTACCTCTCGCTGAGCTTTCTGGAAAAGGGCCAGCGCATTGGAGAATTCAGTGATGAGACGTTCTCGCTGGATTTTTCTTTGCCTCTGTGTGAGAAAAGAGGAACGTCACATCTGAGTAGGACTGTTTAAAGGGGTCATATGATGTTGCTAAAAAGAACATTATTTTGTGTATTTGGTGTAATGAAATGTGTTTATGCGGTTTAAGGTTCAAAAAACACATTATTTTCCACATACTGTACATTACTGTTTCTCCTCTATGCCCCGCCTTTCTGAAACGCGTCGATTTTTACAAAGCTCATCGGTCTGAAAAGCGAGGTGTGCTGTGATTGGCCAGCTATCCAGTGCGTTGTGATTGGCCGAATACCTCAAGCGTGTGACGGAAATGTTACGCCCCTTACCATACTGTGATGCCCTGTCAGGCCAGAGTGACGAAACATTAAAACCCATAAACGAGGCATTTGCTGCATCCAGTGGGATCCACTGCGCGAAGTTGATGTATTTCCTCAGCGACCAGCACGGATCAGCTCTAGACATGACGAAGCGGATATCGTCCTCTTTTGGAAGGCCAAACAAAGTAGTTTCACTTTCACAACGAAACACACAGCGCCTTCATGACATGGCGGCGGCGGCAACAATACTACAGCGAGAATAAAAGTTACGCCTTCTTTCTTTGCGTGAACATTTGGGCGGCATTATGCAAATCTTCCCACATTGTGACATAGACATGTGGGGGCGTATTAGAACGAGCCGTTTTAGGTAGGCGTGGTTGACTCTTAACTTTTATAAAGAATATCTCTTTGGATTTGAGACTTTAGTCTTTGCAACTTTACAGATCTTCTTTATGCACGAAGAGCTTGTAACACTTCAAAGAGAAAGGAAAAATTGAAATCGCATCATATGACCCCTTTAAGGGATAGTTGTTCACCCAAAACTGAAAGTTTGGTTACCACTGGAACACAATGTTAAACAGAACTGTTTGGTTACCAACACTCTTCAAAATATCTTGAAATAGAAATAAAGTTGAAATAAAGTGAAATAAAGTTTGGAACGATGAGGATAAGCAAATTATCATTTAACTTTACATTTTGAGAGAACTATCCCTTTAAGTTACATAATGCCTTTTATTTATTTCTAAATCAGAAAGATCTGGATGTTGAATGTTCCATCATATAATTCGTATTTGCTTAAATGCTGTCACGGGAAATATTGTATGTATATGAGGTGATGCGGTGGGACAGTGAGGACGCTGTACCTGTTCTGTGGTCACAGGTAAAGCACTGTAATCTTTCATACATTTGTCTGTCACTTTAGCAAGCTGATTGACCTTCTGCTGTTTCTCCTGTCTGTAGGTTTTGACAAATACAAAGAAATATAATTGGATTGACATATATGTAGGTCAATTAAAGGGAACTGAACTAGCTGCTTGTATTCAAACTCACAATGTCTGACGCAGGTCAGTCGTGTCTTGTGCTGTTCCAAAATGTCTCATCATCTGCTGGATTTCATTAGCTGGTAAAAACGGAAGACAATATCTAGACAAACACACACTGGAAAACACCTCCTGTGCTACTGGTTTATGTAAAAGTGAGCATAATGGTTTCCATTCATTTCCATAATAAATTCACCTACACACTTTTGCATGTTGTGGTTTCTAGATGTGTTTTTTTTTTCACATTACAATGAGTAACAGAAATATGGACAACATTTGGTACAAAGACTGAGTGACCTCCCAGTTAGTTTTATGCCAAAATGGATGGTTATAATATATATATATATATATATAAACGTATGCTGGTTCAATATTTATGGCCAACAGTCTTCACATCACATAAATAAGGATGGATGTAGTAAAATTACTCACTTAGCAATGTTATTCTCTGGATATTTGAACTTATAGTCTGCGCCAGCACATTTGTGTCAACTTCGCTTGATCTGGACATGATGGAGATCTTCACAGAATAATTCACCAACCCTAGAAAGATTACACGTTAAATCACATCTGCTCTCAGAATTACAGGGAAAACATGTGTATGTATATATAGTAGCTGTTTTATAAATAACACATATCATAATATATCCTTTTTAATATATTTATGTCACTTTTGAACACCTAGTTTGTCTTAAATTCAAGTAGTCTAACTCTTAAAATATTTTTGTGCATTCTGTCCTCCAATAATTTTCACATATCATTACATTTATGTGCTATAGTTCATACATTCAGACAAGAGTTGACTATAAAGGTAGATTTAAACGGAAAGGTTTATTAATTTTTTTCTTAATGTTTCATGAATGTCATGTCTGGGAAAGCTGTCATGTGTTGTAAACGCTACAATGTTGGACAAAGTATTATTTATACTATTTGCAGTCCATAACAGCATAATGGTAAATTCTATAAAGGCTATAATGTGCCTTTCCCATTGTGACAACTTGCCCCATATTGTATGACTACGTGCCTCGCTTTATTGAAATATCTCTTAATAGTTCAATAATGATACGGAAATAGCTAGTGTTGTTCAAACGCTAGCAGGCTAACTAGTACACCTTGTTCATTTGAATAGTTCACCGACCTCTACTGCACCTGCAAAACCAAAGAATGCGGAAATCACAGCGCCAGAGCTCAGAAACATATTCATTTATAAAATCAGACAGTTTTTATTTTTACTTCACTGACACACAACAAACATTCACCAAGAATGGTCAGGAATATGAAAGTGTGCGAGTGTTTAAAATAAATGTTTAGGTCACGCGCTGTCAAAATGAACACACTGAATGAAGTTCAGAATCAGCGACGCTTCTTTTCACTTTCTCTCTGACCTTTTCTGTAAAGTCCTTCTTAATTAAGTCACTGTACTTACACTGTGTATAATGACACGTCTTCTACTTTAATATGTAACTTACGTTGGTTGTTTAGTTTACCTGGATTTCCTGAGTGAAACTCCGAGTCCCCAGCTGATTTCTTGACGCCTGAGTCACGTGATTTCGCTTCAATCTTCAGCGTGAGTTCAGGACATTTGTGTACCAGGTATTTTCATTCCCAAATATTTGATGGCTGTCTCTAAATATAAGACTTACCTCAGCTCAGAAAGAAACCATAACTTGTTCTTGTGTTTGCTTTAATATTAATAGTAGACTTTAATATAAATGATGACTTACACATAGATTACCTATTATTCATCATTAAAATTCACAAAGACAGTTACAGCTCTCTTCACACTTTAACATCTCCTAATTTTAAAGTCTTTTTTTGCACTGTCATTCTAAACGAAGATAATCAAGGATGTAAAAGGCCAACAAAGATCACCAATGCAAACATAATCTTTGTAACAAATACATGCATTTTCATATTAACAGTCTTCAGGAAATAAGTTCATCTGGTTAGTTGCTGTCTGCACTATTTTTAGGCTAAGCACAAGCTTCACTGACCTTTTGAACCAGGGGTAAGATATTGCATATATAAAGGGATTGATGCATGAATTAGTGTAAAACAAACACAGTAAAGCAGAGAGGAGGACAGATGACTTCTGAAATTGTTTCATATTAAGCATGCTTATATACCAGGGAACCCAGCACATGAAATACACGAAGACAATTATACTCAATGTTTTTGTTGCTTTCACCTCTGATTTCCTGAATGATTTTGGATTTTTCTGAGATGCCATTTTCTTTGAAGTAATGGAAATGGCTTTAGCTTGTCTCAAAGCCACAGTGAGAATTCTTATATACAGTATTACCATTACTGTACATGGAGCAATGAAACTCACTATCAGGTCAGCTGGACCCCAGGCGTTGCTGACAGCCACTGCACATTCCCTTAGACAGAAGACAGTTGTTCCTGTCAGGTTTGTATTCCCTAAATTCATTGGTACTAGATTATAACAGAAGGACACAGTCCATCCTAAACTTATGCACATCAGTGTTTTTCTAATTGTCATTTTAGACATATACATGAGTGGCTCACATACAGCAAAATAACGATCAATTGCTACAAGCATGATATTAATGAGTGAAGCAGATCCAAGAACAGACATAATCACATGAAAGATCCGACAGTGCGACTTTCTCATATAAAAACAGGAGTTTATGCTCCTAAGGCTTTCAACCGGCATCACACAAATTCCCACCAAGAAGTCAGAAAGGGCCAGTGAGAGGATGAGGAGGTTGGTCGGTGTGTGAAGCTGCTTGAAAGCTGTTATAGAGATGATGACAAGTAGATTTCCAAACACTGTCAGCACAGAAACTGCAGATATGTACAAGAACAAGAATACATTGACATAAGTCAAATGAAAGTCAAGAGAGCAGCTTGTATTACGGTGGGGGAAGCAGTGATGTTCAAGAAATTCCATGGAGAAAGTCCTCACTGCTTTAAAGCTCAAGGCCCATGTTTATGATATGACTGCAGATCCAGGATCCTAAATCAGAATTTCACTGCCAGTTTGCTTATATAAAGGCAAATGTCAGGTGTCATTTATGGGAGTGGCCGAGAATTACATCAGCATCAGCTACCGTCACATTTACAGATGTTTACAAGAGTTCATGGCCTCCTAATTTTGATAAGCATGTTGCCCCCCATACTACCTCTTAAGCAATTAAGTAAACACTTAGTAATAAAAAATAAGAAAATCACAAGCAATAGGACAAATAAAACTACAACAAAGACATAAATTAAATAGTTCTTTAAGTTTTTTTTTTCAGGTATGCCTAATATTCAAGAAACGCTACAAAAATGTAATAAAGTCATCAGTGTATTTTATGGAGGACTGTTTCCTGATCCTGGTAGAATAGACTACAATGTAGGCTGTTCTGACTCACTGTAAGTAAGTTTTTTATTTTCATTACACCAAATACAGAAAATAATGTTCTTTTTAGCAACATCATATGACCCCTTTAAAATAAAATACTTAGTCTTCACTGTATACATTAAATAGGCTACAAAAACTATTCTGTAAAGAGCAGTGAGTGATTCCCCCCCCCTTCTTTTTGTTGTTGTTGTTGTTTGATTAACATTAAGGACACAGACAGAAGCAGGTCTATTAGGTTGCTGTCACTTTAAGACAGAGCCAATATACTGACCCACACTGGACAGCCGGGTGCATGTGCCCAAAAGAAAATTATAACTTGTGCATTTTAAAAATGATGACATGATTTTCTTATTGTGCTGTTTTTATATGGTTACATAATTGCAAATTAATTCTTAAGTATTTTTTCTTAAATGTACAGGAAGCACTGAGGAACAGCATTTTTACTTTTTTATTTTATTGCCACAAGAATGTAACACAGAATACAATCATATAATTGATGTTCACTGAGGAAAAAAAACCCACCAGACACATAAAATATGAGCAATCAGCATTATAAAAAACACATGATAACAGTCTTCAGAATTTTTAGATATTAGAATTGTTTGGCGTCGTGATTTCATTCTCAAAAACAATACATATGGGCTTTTGGTTACTAAATTTGCTTCTGTAAATTTGTATTGTTCACGTTCATGTAGCAAATGCTGCCAGTACACCATTTTTTATGACATTTTCCCATATAGTAAACCATATAGTGAATAAGCGATAATGTACACAAGAAAATATAGAGGTCATGTCAAATACTCACCACTTTGGATGATTTTGGTACTTGTGTCATTATCTGCAGCCATAAAATCTAGTCTACAAAGCTACATGATATATGACATTATATAAAGCTTTTTAATTTAATTAAGCTTATATGTTTTTACCTTAATGTGCGCATATATAAATTCACTTGTACATGACAAATTCATCTAAACTGAACTAAGATGGACTGCTTTTGTCTGTTGTTGTCATCAAAAACTTGACTTGTAACCCTGGCTTTTGATACAGGCCACTAGTTGGACTGACACCGTTTTTCTTCTTTGCCAGTCTATAGATTTTTAGAGCACCCTTTAATCTTACATGGATTACACACCAAATATGGATCATAACAAAACCACTTGAGTACAGAGTGCAAAATGTATAAAGTGCTTGTTTAAGACTAAATGGGTATTTTCTTCTGTATGTAGTGTTTTACATTTTATATGGAGAAAATGTGTAACTGTGTTCCAACGTTTTCATTCGGCTCATTATTTGTGCACAATACACAAATCATTTCAGTAAGAAAGTATGCGCTAAGTTAAAAACAACAAATGCTGACCAGATCAAATTGGGAGTCAGATCAAAATTACATGAAAAAGAACCAAAGTCAAACAGTGAAAACACTGATGTCAGAAGAGTTTGGTTCAAATATTTTCAATGTTATAATAAGAGAAAGGGTTTTTCTGAACCATGGGTAGAAAAGGCCATATATGATGGGGTTTATGGTTGAGTTAATGTAGCCTAACCAGACAAATGCTTCAAACAGAGCAAAAGGAGTGGAAAAGTTGATGTAAGGGTCAATCAAAGAGTTAATAAAAAATGGCAACCAGCAAATAATAAAAGCTCCAACAACCACACCAAGAGTTTTTGCTGCTTTGCGTTCAGATCTTCGAGAACTTTTAAACGTGCTCTCATTTTCATGATGGTTTGCCTCACCGATTGTTCTAATGTGTTTTTTGGCAACTACAAAAATTCTTGCATACAGTCCTATCATGACAGAACAAGGCAAGAAAAAAGTTAGTAATGTGTCTAAAACGGACCACAATGCATTGAAAAGCAAAGTGCAACTTCCCATACAGTATATTGATTCAATATATTCCTCCAGTCCTTCCACATTAGCTTTTGAGTACACTAAGCCATAAGAATATAATGCAGCCATGCACCAACTTATCATCACCATGACCCATGCAACAGGTATGGTTATTTTTGTAGGATACAGAAGCGGATAACAAACTGCCTGATGTCGATCAATAGCAATAAAAATTAGATGAAAAATAGACACTGATGTGAGAAATAGGTCAAAACTTGAGTGTAGCAAACAGAAGGCATCTCCAAAGTACCAGCAGCCACCCACAGAACGGATCATACTGAAAGGCATGACCACCAGTCCAAGCAGCAGGTCCGCTAGAGCCAGAGACATCACCAGGATGTTAGTGGGAGTCTGGAGCTGTTTGAAGTGTGCGATGGAGATGATGACCACCAAATTTCCTAGAATGGTCACAGTCATCGCCAACACCAATAGGAGATACACCACAGTCTGAGTGGAAACATGATGTGTGCCTTTAAGACAAGAGTTGTTCACTGCAGGAAAACAAAACTGAGTGGGATCATATTCTTGTGATGATAAATCCATCCTCTCAGTCTCAGAAAACTAGAACCTATAAAATGCTGTTTTATTTAGTCTAGTCAGGCCTTTAAATAGTCTTCATTCTCTTTTCTGAGCCTCCCACATCATCACAGGGCAGCAAATGACAATCAAGCACTATATATATGACTGAAATTACATTATTTAAATATTCTGGTTTGTCCATTATTCAATTGTCTTATAAAAGTATAGTTTAAATAAAATTGTGGAAAAAACATATAAATGAAAGCTATGACATTTATCTCATGACAAAGACGAAAAAGTCATTATTTAATAAAAAAAAAAATCTCTTGAAGTGAACACCCATGATCTAAATTACTGTCATTGACATGAAGAAGAATTAGGTCTGGCTACTGACACAAATTCACAATTTGATTAGTTTGTGATTTGATTCAATTCTGATCTCGATTCGGTTCAATATTGATTCATTTCGATATACATCAGGTACAGTACAGTTTTTTTTTTTAAAGGAAAAAATTTCTAACTAATGCTGTAATCTATACAGTAAACCCTGTCAGTTGGTACATTACTATAATATTAAATATTATAGTAACGTAGGATAAAATTAACTGATTTGTTTAGAAACATTTAAATGTCACATAAAGCAGTTGGTAACAACAACAATAACAATAATAATAATAACTTGTTAATATATAGGCTAATTATGTTTCTACTCCGATTAGTTAAAAAAATAAAAATAAACATTTCAACAGTGGCTTTCTTAAGAGCTTGTTTTCATGAC